GGGGGAGGTTCTCATTTGTAGAGAAAGGAAGAAAAGAACTCGGAAAATTGAAAGAAAAAAAGAGGTGCAACAAGAGGACTTCCCAAGTGGTCACCCAACTTTGTACTACTCTCGCCCAAGCGCGCTTGACTGCAGAGTTCTGATGGGATTCGGTGCATTAGTGCTGGTATGATCGCACCCGACATGCCATGCGCACAAAATCAGATTTAACGCATACGGGGCGGCATGATCGAAACGCGATGGGCGTGAGCGGGGGAGGTTCTCATTTGTAGAGAAAGGAAGAAAAGAACTCGGAGAAATTGAAAGAAAAAAAGGGGTGCAAAACGAGGACTTCCCAAGTGGTCACCCAACTTAGTACTACTCTCGCCCAAGCAAGCTTGACTGCGGAGTTCTGATGGGATCCGGTGCATTAGTGCTGGTATGATCGCACCCGACATGCCATGCGCACAAAATCGGATTTAACGCATGCGGGGCGGCATGATCGAAACGCGATGGGCGTGAGCGGGGGAGGTTCTCATTTGTAGAGAAAGGAAGAAAAGAACTCGGAAAATTGAAAGAAAAAAAGAGGTGCAACAAGAGGACTTCCCAAGTGGTCACCCAACTTTGTACTACTCTCGCTCAAGCGCGCTTAACTGCAGAGTTCTGATGGGATCTGGTGCATTAGTGCTGGTATGATCGCACCCGACATGCCATGCGCACAAAATCAGATTTAACGCATGCGGGGCGGCATGATCGAAACGCGATGGGCGTGAGCGGGGGAGGTTCTCATTTGTAGAGAAAGGAAGAAAAGAACTCGGAGAAATTGAATGAAAAAAAGGGGTGCAACACGAGGACTTCCCAAGTGGTCACCCAACTTAGTACTACTCTCACCCAAGCACGCTTATCTACGAAGTTCTGATGGGATCCGGTGCATTAGTGCTGGTATGATCGCACCCGACATGCCATGCGCACAAAATCGGATTTAAAGCATGCGGGGCGGCATGATCGAAACGCGATGGGCGTGAGCGGGGGAGGTTCTCATTTGTAGAGAAAGGAAGAAAAGAACTGGGAGAAATTGAAAGAAAAAAAGGGGTGCAACACGAGGACTTCCCAAGTGGTCACCCAACTTTGTACTACTCTCGCCCAAGCGCGCTTGACTGCAGAGTTCTGATGGGATTCGGTGCATTAGTGCTGGTATGATCGCACCCGACATGCCATGCGCACAAAATCAGATTTAACGCATGCGGGTTTGGCATGATCGAAACGCGATGGGCGTGAGCGGGGAAGGTTCTCATTTGTAGAGAAAGGAAGAAAAGAACTCGGAGAAATTGAAAGAAAAAAAGGGGTGCAACACGAGGACTTCCCAAGTGGTCACCCAACTTAGTACTACTCTCGCCCAAGCAAGCTTGACTGCGGAGTTCTGATGGGATCCGGTGCATTAGTGCTGGTATGATCGCACCCGACATGCCATGCGCACAAAATCAGATTTAACGCATGCGGGGCGGCATGATCGAAACGCGATGGGCGTGAGCGGGGGAGGTTCTCATTTGTAGAGAAAGGAAGAAAAGAACTCGGAAAATTGAAAGAAAAAAAGAGGTGCAACAAGAGGACTTCCCAAGTGGTCACCCAACTTTGTACTACTCTCGCCCAAGCGCGCTTAACTGCAGAGTTCTGATGGGATCTGGTGCATTAGTGCTGGTATGATCGCACCCGACATGCCATGCGCACAAAATCAGATTTAACGCATGCGGGGCGGCATGATCGAAACGCGATGGNTAGAGAAAGGAAGAAAAGAACTCGGAAAATTGAAAGAAAAAAAGAGGTGCAACAAGAGGACTTCCCAAGCGGTCACCCAACTTTGTACAACTCTCGCCCAAGCGCGCTTAACTGCAGAGTTCTGATGGGATCCGGTGCATTAGTGCTGGTATTATCGCACCCGACATGCCATGCGCACAAAATCATATTTAACGCATGCGGGGCGGCATGATCGAAACGCGATGGGCGTGAGCGGGGGAGGTTCTCATTTGTAGAGAAAGGAAGAAAAGAACTCGGAGAAATTGAATGAAAAAAAGGGGTGCAACACGAGGACTTCCCAAGTGGTCACCCAACTTAGTACTACTCTCACCCAAGCACGCTTAACTACGAAGTTCTGATGGAATCCGGTGCATTTGTGCTGGTATGATCGCACCCGACATGCCATGCGCACAAAATCGGATTTAACGCATGCGGGGCGGCATGATCGAAACGCGATGGGCGTGAGCGGGGGAGGTTCTCATTTGTAGAGAAAGGAAGAAAAGAACTCGGAGAAATTGAAAGAAAAAAAGGGGTGCAACACGAGGACTTCCCAAGTGGTCACCCAACTTAGTACTACTCTTGCCCAAGCACGTTTAACTGCGAAATTCTGATTGGATCTGATGCATTAGTGCTGGTATGATCACACCCGACATGCTATGTGCACAAAATCGGATTTAACGCATGCGGGGTGGCATGATCGAAACGAGATGGACATGAGCGGGGGAGGTTCTCATTTAAGTGGCCTTACTATCGGCTCGGTTGAAAGACTTGTCTTATGTATGACGACACGTGCCCAGTGGCCTTGCACGTATCATTTATGCTTTATGTTATATGATGATGTGATGACGTTATATGATGACGTGATGACGATGTATGATGATGTGTCGATGTTGTATGATGATGTGATGATGTAATATGATGACTCGATAATGTTAGATAGTGATGCGATGCTGTTATATGATGATGTGATGTTGTTATATGATGATGTTATGTGATGACGTGATGATGTTAGATGATGATGCGATGTTGTTATATGATGATGTGATGATGTTATTTGATGATGTGATAATGTTATGTGATGACGTGATGACGTTAGGTGATGATGTGATAATGTTATGTGATGGTGTTAGATGATGATGTGATGATGTTATATGATGAGTTGATGATGTTATATGATGACTTGATAACGTTAGATAAGGATGTGATGATGTTATATGATGATGTTTTCCATATTGAGCATGTTATATGATGATGAGTGCCATATCGCATCGTGTCGTTAGATCGACATAGGACACAACCCTAAGAGCATGAAAATGATATTAATATAAATATCCACGAGCATGTGTTACCTAGAGTAATAAAGAGATGAGACTAGAGGGTTGTGTCAGAAGAGACATTATGATGGGTTTAGAGGGACCTCATGTATATTGTATGTTTATAAGCATAGGGCTACTTCCCTTTGAGATGACGAGTGCAGACAAGCATAATATGATGATGAGTGCGAATGCGCGCACAGATGAGGGAGTTCATGAGGCACATGACACTATGGGGTTCCGCTTACCTTCGGACGTTACTACAGATTAGCTTGACTAGAGGGTCTAGGGGGTGTGCAAGCGCCCTAGGGACTCACACTCGCACGTGTGAGTTGTATTTAGGGAAGTACTACACATACAATTTGTTCGAGACTGGAGGCCACCCCTATGATGTTAAAGATAGGTCCCTAAACCATGATTGCATGTGTTTGCATTTGCATGGCCCCCTATAGTGGGGCCACTTACTGAGTATTCTTTGAAATACTAAGACTGAGTGCCACATCATTTTTCAGGTAAAGGCAAGACGCACTTGTATGGAGGACGGCGACATCGCCAGCAAAGACTATGGCATGTGCACAGAGAAGATTCATATTTAAATTTCTAGTTTTAGGTTAGAATAGGTTGTTATGCATTTCATCGTTTTAAATTATTTTTTACTGCTTTTAAGTTCTCTAAATTTCAGTATTTCGTATTTAAAAACGTAAGACCATGGCTGTGTTTTCCAGAGAAAAAGTTGTTTTAAGCGTTTTTGAAGTTTACGTTATAAATGATGTTCATGTAAGAGTTATATTTCCGCATTATAGATAAGCATGAGACGTTAG